GTCCAGCTGGCGTCCCAAACCGGCGCTGCCTCTCTGCTCCTGCTTAGCGGCGGTCCACCCGAGGAGACTGAGGCAGCGCTGAAGTTGGGCAGAACACGAGTCCTCCGGGCTACAGATTCCGGGGCCTTGCAATTCCAGACCGTGGGCACTGGATTCGCAATAATGTGCCTGACACTGTGCTGAGGATGAATTAACTTGACTTTGTTCTAACCTTACAAGGTCTGGTGCAGGTTATGACCCTAACGTGTGTGACACCATGTGTATCTAGTTCACCTTCCCCAAACAGGACTGGCTGTAGAACTAGCTTGCGATTCAGAACATTCCTGGAATGGACAGCCCTGCCTTCTAACATCAGTATGCTGTTTTACCATTCGGGTGGGAGAGTTGACGTAGTGGCATTTGTGGCTCCAGTGTAGTTGGAACATGAATGGATTGGACATTGGATAGGGTACTGACTTTGGATCTGAAAGTGGAGCTTGACCAGCTGGAGGGACGTGAGGAAGGAAGCCAGGGCTTCCAGCACGTTTTACGTTTGCTTAGCCTGTTAAGAACCATTTCAGGAGGCAGGGGAAGGGAGGGAAAAAAGAGAAGCTGATACCAAAAGCTCAATAGAAGGTAAATGTTTAGAAAATAATTATGGCCCACTGCTGCCCAAAAATGATGGCAACATATGTACAAATATGCTTGATACAATTGATGTATGGATTGTTGTAAGAGCCCCCAATAAAATGATCCTTTAATTTAAAAAAGGTACAGGGTCAAACAAATGTTAATGATGTAATAAGTAAATTATTTAAATTTAAAAATAATTTATGAGGATTCTTTGCTAAAATACTACATTCTTATTATTAATATTGCATTTAATTAAACAGTTATCTAATAAATTGACACATGTGCTATTGTACTTTGTTTCCCACTTAATGTTAAATAATATAAAAGTGACAGAATTATATACATATACACATATACATAACTATTTTGTTTGCATTTGACATCTGGTGAAACATTTTTTTTCTTTTGATTTTTACAAACCCATATAAATGTATGCATGGCATTTTCTTTAGTTAAGAATCATCTAGTTAAACATGATTTGAATGCAAATTTTACTTCCCTGTATAGAACTATGTCAACAACACTGAAAGTCTCTTAATTAGGACTTTTATAAAAAATGAAATCAAAACATGTACAATTATACTCAATACAATTGATGTATGGATTGTTTTATAAGAGCTGTAAGAGCCCCCAATAAAATGATTCATTTAAAAAAAAAAACATTTCTGGAGAATCTCGAAACACTTAACCATTGTCTAGAAATCCCACTGTTCCAAACAGCATCATATTGAGATGGCTCCTGCATTACAGAGAAGGAAACAGAGCTTGGGGAAAAGTAACAAGTCTGAGCAGAAATAGCAAAACTTTTCTAAGTCACTTTACGGGAAACTTCAGAGGAAAAAAATGTTTTTAGATCAATGGCCTTTGTGTCAGCCTCCTAGTGAAATTTCCACTTATTTCACTGTGGAGCCATAACGCTATCTTTTGTGTCTGCCTTCAATATGAGTTTTATCCTTGTTCTACCATCTACTTTTTTCAAAGAAAGCCTTATGAGGCTAAAGGCATTTTGCAAAACAGGAAGACTCAAGCAGCCCATGATAAGGAGCTGTTCATTTATAGTCTTTTTTTCTTTTTCTGTTTTTCCAGTTACAAAATCTTATAAAGGACAAGCATAAGGAAAAATTTTTTGCAATGAAATCAGTTGCCTTCAAGTTCACTACATAATTTTTGTTTGGTTAGTACTAATGCATTTTATGGATAGCCTCATTGTTTACCTAGCAGTTAAACAATGTTTAACTAGAGCATATTTGTTGTTTTTGTTCAGTTTAAATTCTCTTCATGAAATGAAAATGTGAATTAAAAACAAATCTTTAAGTGAGGTCCAGTAGTCCTGAGAGTGGACAGGCTGAAAGGTAGAATCCGTAGGAGCCCCATCTCCAGTAAAGGTTCAAATCTGAGTTTCACTTTTAACAGAGTGCTGGAGCAAAGGTGGAGAAACAGGTAAACAGGTCTCAGGGGGGTTTTTTGGTTTGGTTTTGTTTTTTCAAACTCAAAGCAGGTGCTTAAGCAAGTGAATGCACCTTCCTTTCCATTCCGAAAAGCATTTCTGAACTCCCATGGAAAGTCAGAGCTCTTAGAAAAAACACGGAGATGGGTGAACAAACAAAAAGAAGACGGCAGAAGAAACATACTGAACACCTGAGGTGGGCACTTTAATTGTCAGCAGCTATGATGAAGGAACATGGGAACTGCTGAGCAAATGGAGGCCCGGAGGAGAGGAAACTTACCCAGCTCACACAGTCAAATGTAGGAGGAACTCAAATTGGAAACCAAGGCGCCACCTCCAGGGCTCCTGCTGTTCAGTCTATACTGGGGGTGGATACTTCTATAGTCAAGACCTCAGGCCAGCACCAGGGGAGAGGAAGATGACCAATAAATAGCAGAAGAAATTCACCTCAGGATGAGCACCAGATGCGAATGGTGGCACGTGAGCTCTCTACATCCTGCTCGGGGCTCAGAGTCTCAGATGGAACTTGAGCCACAAAGGAAGTGAGCCTGTGTGGTGGGGGAAAGGAAGTACCTCTGTTGATTATTCTGCAGAGAGCTCTGGGCAAGGAAAGTTGACATCCTGTAGTCCTGATAGCCTCTCTACACTTTTAGCAACCATATTGGAACCATAGGAAATCATTCATTTTGTTCTTAAAAAAGGTCTTTGGTGATGCGCTGGTTAATCACGCAGCTGCTAACCAAAAGACCAGCAGTTCCAACCCACTAGCTACGCTGAGGGACAAAGATGTGACATTCAGCTTCTGTAAAGATTTCTCCTTGGGAAGCCCTATGGGACAGTTCTCTGTCTTAATGGGGGACTTGACAACAGTGTTACTGTTATTGAGAAAAAGTACACAAGTATTAGAACAGCTCTGAAGCTTTGCAATGTAGCACTCATTCTGATATAGATATAGCCAACATACCAGAGTCCTGTGAGAGAGGTATTCATAATCTATTTCAAAGATTGAAGAGCCTCAGTTTAAATAGCTTGCCCAAAGTCACAGTCACTAAATTACAGATTTGAGATTTGAAATAGCCCTTTGCCATTAGAGCTGAGATATGTCTAGCATTTGTGCATTTTCCTTAGTGGGGTTGGGCAGGAGGCAGGGTTGTTCCAAAGGAAGTAAGCTCTTCGGTATTCTCTAACTTATTCTTGCATACTCTCTTTGTCTCTTCTCTCTCAGCCCCTCTCAGCAAATCTCCACACCACCAGAGTTTCTCCTTACTGTTTCCCTAATGCAAGTAGTGTCCTCATGGTTCAAATGACCAGCATATCACGCCATCTATACCCATAAAGACATTCATATTCCAACTTTCAGGATCAGAATTATAGTCACTCCCCTCAGACACCTACTGTTCCATTCTGCTGTTCCCATAGTCTTGATGAAATCACACACACACACCCCAAACCCCTTGAGTCTGATGTCTTCAAAGTCTGAAGTGCAGCAATCAGTAGTGATTTTGTGCCAGCAAATGAACTGCTGAGTCACTGCGGTTTCCTAGCCCCTCCATCCTCGGCTCTGAAAGTTATGCTGCTCCCTGTTACATGCAACCCTCACTCTCCTGGTCATCAAGTCAATGCTGACGCATAGTGACCCCTGTGGGTTTCTGAGACTAACTTTACCGAGTAGAAAGTCCAGTTTGTCTACCGCGGAGCTGCTGCTGGTCTTGAATTGCTCACCATGTGGATTGCAGCCCAACACATAACCACTACACGCTCCTACACGCAACCCTACACTTCCAATAGTTTTCAGAGCAACAGTCATCAGATTGGAAGTATGTATGCTTATCAGTGTACATAAAAACCCCAAAGCAAACTTGGGCATGGAAAGTATTGATAGAGGGGGGTCCAAGAGCCCACTATTAATCAAAATACTAGAAACGTAACATGGTTTAAGATTTAGTTTGTTAAAACTAAAAAAATAATTAAAAATCCACCCCTGCCCTCTCCTTGAACTAGAAATTCCTTTTAGGCTTAATAAGTGAGGATGTCCTAACTCAGGAAGGAGGCTAGCAAAATAAGTAGCCAGGCACAAAGCGTTCCTATTCTAAGACCTCACCTCAGGGTAGTGGTTTAGTAAGGCGAGGCACAGAAACATCACCCCAATTTAGATAAACAATTCCAACTGTTGCACTTTTAACAAGTCAGATTCATCAGGGAAAGGGGTAGGGGGAGTAATTCCATCAGACCCTGCAGAAGACTATGAATGCAACACCATGGAAGAGGTAGCAGGTGTCTTCATGAAGCTTCAGGGGTTGGTGGTCTAATGGCCCTGGAGAAATGTAGGTATAGATAATTTCCTAATGATCATTGCAAAACCTGTTCATCTCTTCCTATAGCCATAGTAAAATCCTGCTCCTGTTACATAATTTAACGTATATAACTTGTTCGACTTGCACTTGG